GCTTGTTTTCATAACTGCATTTCACATATTTTATACAAACAGTAGAGAATCAAGAGGAAAGTATCCATATTAAATATTCAGGCAAGTCTCTTTAAATAAAACCAATTACCCTTGATAATATTTTTTTTTTTCTGTTGGATATCAAATGTTGACCAGGATAATGGATGTCATTCCCCTGTGAACCATTGCATTTAGGAAGGAACAAGTCCCTTTATTCTGAAGAGATAAGGAATACTATACTACTATACGTGGTTGGAGCATTTGCCAGAAATTGATCAAGTTTAATCTGAAAATTCCAAATGTTTAGAACAAATGTGGTTGAGTGACAAAACAAAATAAAACACACACACACACACACACACACACACACAAAAAAAAAAAAAAAAAAAAAAAAAACCACCACAGTTTGTAAGATTACTAGTATAATATACAAAACAAAAAGCATAAATATAACTTAAGTACGGACACATAGGTGTTACTCTGAGTGAACTTGCACATCTGGTCAGCTCAAAGCATCTCCTAGCTTGTACAGATACAGGTAAACGAGCTTGATTTAATTTGCAGACTGAGTACCAAAGATTCTCATTTCTGAAATCATTTCTAGGGGGAAAAATAATATTCTGCTTATTGATTGATATAGCATTTTCAAACTGTACATATTAATGCAGGAAAAGCATTAAGTTTTGCTGAGGTTTTATACTAAATATGTGTATGAAGAAGAATTAGCAGGTGGCTTTTGTGACACACTCAGCTAAACTATAAATAAATAAACAAAAATCTGCACACACAATTCGTACACACAATTTGCACACATGCTTTAACGCCACCATCACAGCCTTCAGACTGTTATCAACAGAACAAAGTTTTGATATGGACATTTACTGACTTGCTTCATGGAGACAATTTCTTTTCAACTACCTACACTCACGCGTGAAGAGGAGGCAACTGCGGTATGCTATCTGGTGCCTCTATCAGTAGTACTTATGGACAAATACAAGAAGCACTGACAAAAGCTGAAAAGAAAAATTCACAGAAGTTAATACATGTAACCAGTATTCAACATGAATATTTATTTTTGAGGTCACAGTAGTTGATAAAAGGTTAAAAACCTTTTATTTTTAGAGCTTGGTGAAACAGCTTGTTGAGGGATCTGGACAAGGATAACCACAGTGCTTTATGACACCTCCCTCTTCAGCCCTGGAACATAGGGTTATCCAAAAAAAAGTAGTAGGAGATGTCTTTGAATTTCCCCTCTGTCATGGTGGCAGTCACAAAGTAATAATAAATATTTCATCACAGACACCCACTATCAGTGTAACTATAACCCATGGCAACATATGCCCTTGTCTAACACTATAAAAAAACAACTATGGCACTCTAGGGAGGGTGGGTGTTTGTTTTCAGTTATAAGTAGGATCCATGTTCAAAGTGTAGATTACAGACAATTATCTGTGCATTTTTCTTTATTAATTATTCATTAATAATTATTCATTTTTCTGTTCCCTGACTCTTTTGCCAGCAAATCACTATTGTTTTGAAGTCAGCCTCATCAGAAGATAGCCAGCAGTGTCAAAAATGCATATACTCAAGCTTTTAATAAACAGAAAACAAACGTTTGTAGAATGAAAATACCTCCTAAATCAAAATGCAATCTACCTTACCACAGTTTCAATATAACCTTATAAAAACACAAAAGGCTGAACCAGGAAAATAACTAGAATGCATATATTTTTCTGAGATTTAATAAGATAAAACAGCATCATACATGTATATGCACAATAGTAAACAACAAATTAAAAATTTCTTACTATGAAGATCTGAAACGGAGAAGCCAAAGAATTACCAGGAGTCAAAAAGGTGATAGTAACAGTCTGTAATTACTTTGCTGCAGAGAACTGAGTTTCTTTTCAGGAATAGGAGGCATTGCTTTCTGAGCAATCTATGTAGATTGGTCTATATCTAAAAATGAAGTTTCCAAACTATATGTTTCTTGTCACACAAAAGCTTACCTGCACTCTGCAGTATCTAAATCTTTTATTTTTATTTTCTTAGAGATTAACTTCTAAAAATTGTGCTCTCTACTTTTCACAGAGCAGAATTTTTCACTCTGTCATTATTCTCACAGAGCATGTTTCTGAATTTCTTGAAGTCACCTGTAAGCTCCGATGACTCTCATAAACAGATACAATTGAGTACAATAAGCCAAGTATTAAAATACATATACTCACGGGCAACAAGTTAAGAGAAGCCCACTTAACAACTGAATCTTGAAATCTGTAAGGGCAGCAGCATAATACACATTTTCCAGGATGCATACCTTACTAGGATCACCTGATGCTGTTGGGTAAATGGCTTGAAATTTCAGGCTAACTAACCAAGCATTTAATTTCACTATTTAGCAAATCCATTACCAACACACAGAGAGTTTGGTGTGGGGTCACACATGATCTCTTACTTGAGTATTTCTGTTTTAAATTCTATTTTCCCTAGTGAGACTTTACAAAGAGTTTTGAGACATTGCACATTCTGATGGACCGCTGCTTTGAAACCGCATCAACATCTACACAGCTGACAAAAATATCCATAAGATGGTAAGACCTAGCCATTGTATTATGAGGCTGCCTTTGAGTCAGTCACTAGGAAGACAGAAAGTTTCATGAGTGTTTGATTAATTCTGAATTAGAAGTGATCTTAGAGTTAGCATCTTGCCATTTAATCTTCCTCCACTGAACAAATTCACAAACCCTCACTGATCAGTAGAATTATTTTATATACATTGGCACATCTGGAAAAAAAAAGAAACACAAATGCACCATACTTCATAATGACAAAGACTTTAAATTACAAAGAAACTTTGGTTAACTTATCCATAGCACTGAAAAACATATCCAGAAACAAACAAAACAACTTTGGCAAGCATAATTTAAGTGATTTAAAATATAAGTATTCAAACCTTATAAAAATCCTTCCAAAACTCTGTAAAATTCAGTTTTATTATTCATGGAACTTCATAATAGAGTGTTTAGGCTGCACTGCCACAGTGCAGATGACGTGTGACATGCCAAAGAAAGCAAGTCATTGTCACATTCCCCCAGAGACTGATGACATCTAGTTTCATGACAAAAGTGCCTGTAGGAGGCTATCCTGAAACAAACATGAAGATCAGCGATTGCTTGCCTTGTGGCAAGCAGGTGTTTGAACAATTCCTAAAGTTTTCCTTCAAGAGCACTGTTAGAACAGTAAGGCTAGGCAATGAAATGCTAAACATTGTGCAATAAAAGGCAGCTGATAGTGCTGGGTGAAAGGCCAGGAGTCTTGTTTGAGCACCTGCAAGACAACTGCAAGTATGATGATGTTTATAAAGTAGCCTCCCAGGAATTTGTTTAGATGTCAAAACTTCAGGCAAGCAGCATTTGTTTTTGTCCTTAAACCATCTGTGAGCGTGTTTGAAGGGGGAAAAATCTGGCAAAGCATGCAATAACAAATTTCTTTTCTTTTAGCATGTTACAACAAATACGAAAATAAAGATCAAAGTCACCATGTAGACTGCTGATTACTGGGACTTCTGAAGAACAGCCCAGAGTTCGCATTAGTAATATTCAAAATTCTAAACATTCGTATCAAAAAGGCTAAATAAGATTATGTTTATCTCTTAACTATCACAAAGTCTTTTCATGTGCATTTCCTATGTATAAATCTTTGGCCAGCTGGACATCCAATTTATTGAAAGCATGTCTTCATTTACTAAGAACATTATTGGAAATATATTTGGATGTAACCCATATGGAGAGAACATGAAGTGTACATAGAATCGCTGAATTGCTAAGGCTAGATCATTTAGTGCCATGGATGCTAAGCCCTAAATGAGACACTAGATACGAAATGAGGCAGATGAGTGAGCAAGAATATACTCACTCAGACACCATACCACAAATTATATCACAAATCAAAGAAAGAGCAGCCAATTCTTCTTTGTTTTTCCTGACCAGAATCTCTTTTTATTACAACTTATATGTTAAATATGCATGCTGATGTAAAGTCTTGTATTTCCTGCTGGAATGCAAGTAGCCTACTTTTAAAACTGACAGAATTGCGTTTTCATGGAAGCTTAAATGTTATCACTGTTCTTGGATTTAAGTGCTCACAATTATATGTAAGATAGCATGCCATATGAACACTTGGATGTCTACTTTAAGAGGCAGAGTTTTCAGTCCTTTGGGATCCTGCTTCTCTGCAAATCTTCCAGTGCTTTTAGCTAGACACAGCCTGATTTTGTACACTTTGTGATTAAAACAAAAACCAACCCCAAAACCACAGATTTCCTGTAGCAGACACGGAGGTTTAACTCTCAGTGTATCAGTAATCAAATGTTCTAAATGGAAAATATAGTTTACAGACCTTTCTGTCCTAATCTGTTGTAGGCTGAAAAAATCAGTTTTTGGCATCAAAAAATGAAGCAGCTATTAACATGCTGCCCTTCAATAGACATAAGCCAATACTGTACCACGAAAGGTATTGCTTTGTATTATTACACTTATAATACATATAATGTTATAATACTGTACACTTAAACTTCAGGGAACCATTTTGTTGTATGACTGAAGTAAATATTTGGCTAAATAAATATTTAATATCTTTTAACTGGTGATTCAAGCATTATTACAGTTACATTACTGCTCACGACCAATTAAACTACTCACATAAATTTTAGCCATTTTTTCCAAAACTGCATTTGGTTTGACATTACCTATGTATCCTCAGTCTAAACAATGCAATATAAAAAAATCTTGCTCTGCCAACCTGTGTTAGTTATTCATGCACTAATAATTATGTACTTAAATAACAAAGCATCACTCAGCATAACTCATTAACAAAAGGCCATTCAGATATAGGCAGGGTTGTACTCTGCACAAGATATGAAGATCTATTCCCTACACCATTACTCTCCACAATGGCTGAACATAAATGGGACATAGGTTCATAGTACATTTTCACTTCAGACAGTCCTTTAGGTCATTCTCAATATAACACAACTCCCCATCACGGAAATGATCGAGAGCACAAAAATTAAGAAGTACTTTTGTAGGATGATGGGCTTTTCAAGTTTTAAAGTCTTCAAACAGGGTGATACTGTGGTCCTTGTTACTGCAGAGCCTCACAACTGCTGACTGTACACATCCCATGGGACACTCAACTGCACGACAGAACCCCACTCAGCAGCCTGGTAGGGCACAGTCTTCTCTTGGATTGGCAGCCAAATAAATGCATGTTTAACAAGAAACTGCAAGAAGAGAAAGGTTTTATAAACATATTTTAAGGATGAAAAAAAAGTCTTCAGGATTACAGGAGAAATGACACTAATGCCATAATTAGTGGTTGTTTCCTATTGAGATTTCTTACTGTTGTAAGTGACTGAGAAAGAGCATATTACAGGAGAAGACAACTGAGTGTCTTACTATTGTTTCTGTGCCTTACTGTAGTACAAATATTCTACAAGGATAGTCATTCTCCAGATGCCAGTACAACATGAACAGTGAATAACAATAGCAGAAAGAACAAGGATAGCTGTTTTTCCAAACAGTACCATTGTTTAGTTTTGTTGGTTGGTTGTTTTTGTTTTTTTAAGAATTAGAATTATTAATTAATTATAAAAAGGATGAGAATAAAACCTGTAGTTGAAATTGACCACAGCTGTAAGAAACAACACAATTTTCAGGAAAAAAAAATATTCTCATATAAAATATTTGTATTTTTTTCACACAGTAGGAGAATTTTAGCTATGCTTGCTTGCATGAAAGAATTAACTGTGTGTTATCAAGCAAAACATTATTTGGCAGGTCTACCTGATGCTGTTTTCTTAACATGCAGCTTCATGAGAAGATTTGTGATGTTTAAAATTAACAAGATTCACATTAAAACCCCAGTACGTACTGATCAAGATAAAGCAGAAGTTCATCACTAGCTGGATCTCAGCAAGCAGCCCACAACTCTGTACAGTTCCAAGCTTATCCTTTGCCAGTGTTAATTAATATATTAAAATACCTCTGAAACGAAAATGTATGTTTATCACTGTCTTTAATGTAGTGCATGAGGCATTAAGAAAAAATTTCATATTGAAAATTTAATTGCAAGACTTGTTGCCTATACATTTATCTGTACAGTGCAAACGCTCAGCAGGTGCTCTGTCTCATGAAGTTATTTTCATAAATAATTCATCATGAAAATCACTCTGACTGAAATTCAATTTGCGAGAGACCAGGGAAAAGTTGTCATTCAGAATTTGTTTGTTTACCTTTAAAAACATCTTTGACAGACAAAGAAAGTTTAGAAACACCCTTTTCTTCTACATGTTGGCATCTCATATCTTGCACACATATTTTCACATTGTAAAAATATAATGTCTATGCTGTCATCTAGTGAGTATTTCAGAATTTTATTAGAGTTCAGAAATGAGATATTTTTCTTTTTTTACATAAAAGCCAATAAATGCATTTGCTGTTTCTGTAAATCCTGGACATTCTAGAACTTCAAAATAGATATATTTAGTACTGTGACATCAACATCTTTTGGAAAGATTCTTGTTCTGAATAATTCAGATCTTACACTTAATTAGTAACATTCAGCTAATTAATAAGTACTTGTATTACTTTACTATTTATCAGCCTGATTCAGAGATCCAAAATCTTCTCTCTGTAAATGTTTGAGTTAAATAACCCCCAATATTTTGAGACACTGAAAAGCAATACTTTCAACAATCTGTTCCTTCCAACGCAGAACTGTCTGTATCCTGCTTCAGTTTCCTGTAATCCAGTTTGCACAGGATGGCCAGGCAAAGCAGCACTGCAATTTTACTTTTCTCAGCTTGTAACGTTTGCTGGTGTCCATGTCTTTTCTTTTCTTACCAAGATCTTTGTATAAGCTGTATCTTTGTACCATCCTATCTACCTATTCTGGAGAAAGCAGAATAATACTGGCTTATCCTAAAAAAAACAATATACTTACTTGTCTACTGTGTCAGACAAATCATGGAACATTTGAATTTTGAAGTTAATTTTTTTTCTGGAACATCTTAAAATAATGAGATTTTGAATTATTGTAAAAGTTGCCATGATTAATACAACCAAAATCTTTCATTTCCAGCTGACTTCTTTCCAGTTTTTCATTTCAGTTCTCTTTCTAACTGTGGGATGAAAAGGGTGCAATAAAATTAAAAACAAAGAGTAGACAGACAATAAATCAGCACTACTGAGGATATGCTTGTATTAACATGCTGCTAAATCTTTCTATTTTCTAATTAGAATTTGCCACAAAGAACAGGAATAGCTTTATAGCCTTTAAATATGCTGGACAAAAAGATAATTAAAGCTGAGAATTAAAATACATACAAGTGCATTTTCTTTTCTTTATGTAAAGGATTGGCATTAGATATTTTCTGCAGCAAATAAGATTGACAATTGTACCACACTTTACTAGAAGCAATTAAACATCATGCCAAACACAAAGCTATTAATGATGATGGCCACATTGGAATTTTATCATTTAAATATTAGCACCTGACACATCAATTAATTTCATGTCCACTGCCTACATTAAAAAAAAAAAAAAAAAAAAAAAAAAACCTGATATGAAACACTACATGCATCTGTACAATTCTTAACAAACAGCAAATTTATTTCAAATGGGTTGATTTGAAGTTAGCTTCATTGCGTGTTTGTGTTTCTTGGTGTCTTCCCTTGTTGAGTTACAACAAGGAATTACCAAACATCTAACCTGCTCTATGTCCACACAGATAAGGAAATCAAGCTGAACTGCTTGCAATTTTAATCTTTGTTAAACAGGAGAATGCAGTATGCAACAAGGATAAAGCAGGTCTCATTTCCATTTTCCAGACATATAGCAGTCCTTCCTCTAGTAGAATTTACACTTGGTTTAGAACTTAGCTTAGACAAGTGTGTCTTAGAGAATTTTAAAAACTGGCCATATAGTGTTAGCAAAAGATGTTCTCAAAATTATCAACTACATGTATCCACAGAAACAAAGAGTTACAAAAAAAAAAAAAAAAAAGGAGACCACAATCACTTTACCTCTCCTGCTGCAGCCAGAATTCCAAATGGGTCTGCAAATGTTAGGGAGAGCATTTCTGAAATCAATTCTAATAGCTTTGAATACATCTATAATCACATTTTCTTAAAAACTCTTTATTTGTTCTTTGCACACTATGGCTATGGGGCATGTGTAATTGAACATTATATAATAATAAAAAAAAAATGCATAGGCTTTTGGTTCTACTCTCTAGACTCCAAGGTTTACTTCTCATTGTATATTGCTGTTTTCATAAAAGCAGCTCCAAACTGTTGCAAAGACTTATTTTAGTCTTTTTTAAACAAAGCCCACAAATGCTAACACTTCAGCTGTTCAGAACAACTGTTATTGGCCTATGCTCCTTTCCCAGCACAGGTAACAAGGGCGTGAAAAGTAATTTATTTTCCTGTTTACTACTATCCTCAAACAATAGCTCAATTTAACCTACACCTGAGTGTGCTGCAAATCATCAAACTTCAAGAAGCACTGGAAACAGCTAAAATTCACACAAAACCGTATTTAGCAAGCTTATGCTCAATTTTCAACCTGAAATATCATATGAAATCCATGAAGAGGTAGCTATTAAATACTTGTCTATTATAAAATCGACAATTACTAATCAAATTAGGAAAGTAACAGATTAAGCAAGAAGTAGTGAAAAAGTTTTAGGGAAGGAAGTCATATATACACTGTTTAGTGTGTGTACAAACAGAAAACCATTCCATTTCACATAAACAATTCTATCTGTATAGACAATTTAAGAATTATTATACAACTCAGCAATTTCATGCAAGCACTTCAATGCAGTTCTCACCAAGTTGTCTCTGACATTGTCTGTTATAAAATATCCATTAACTCCATCTCCAGAAATAATAAACCAGGACAACTCACTTCAGTTTTGAATGATTTCTCCACCTATTTCCAACAATTGCTTAGAAATAGCTATAGTTAGAAGAGATGATTTACCACATACACTTTTCATTAGAAGGCGAGAAGGCAAAGCATAAGTTTACTGCAATTTTACATTCATTAGTAATATTAATAAACAGAAAGAAGTAACAAAACGTGTTGTATAAAATTTCTGATGTACAACTAAGTTACTTTAGGTAAAATAATATTTATCTAACATAAACATGTACTTGCTTGTCAGATTACCTCAATGAGACAGACATGAGCAGAGCAGCTGCAGTAAAAAAAAGTTGTGCACATCCACTACAGGGATGCACCACAGCAGTTGGAGGCATGGACAACTGAGAGACATTTTATTCATTTTCAAACTGAGGTCAATAAAATAAAGAAAAAATGGAGGGTGGAGGGGGGGAGACACACAGTGACCAAAACCAGCACAATCTTGTGCAAGAATAAAGACTATTCTGATGAAACAGACAACATGGAAAATGAAACAGACCAGAAGTAACTAGCTCTTCAACAAGTATGTGAACAAAGACTGCAGGTCAACCTTCCAGTTTCTTGTTTTATAGAAAACCTAAAATACTGTCATGGAGTTTGGATTGGATGGGACTTTAAAGATCATTTAGTTCCAACTCCCCGCCAGACCACGATATTCTCATATGAAGCCTTAATCCTGCAGTTTTATATCACAATTTACAACAATTTGCATTTTCTGCCATCCACTAAAGAATGTGCAGTCAGCCCAAGACCAGCTTCTTTGCAAAGCAGGCACTAATTATCATCCTCTAGCTCTCCCGTTTCATTTCCCATTTTGCAATATCTTTACCAATATATTAATTATTCTTGTAAAAGATCTTCTCCAATTAAAGGACTGATCAACTCTTAGGCACTGCATTCTTCATGAATAGATGTATCACAGCTGGGTGCAACCCCATGGGCTAGAAATAAGAAGTGTGAATGAAGCATGTAACCATGTTGGTTGGTTGCTTGTTTCAAGGTACATAATGCACGTTATTTCAAGTGTTATGTAAGGAGAAGATAGGAATTTTTCTTAAAAAATCTGCTCAGAAAAAAAAGACAAAAACTTCCATCTGTCAATTAATATTAATAAACTTCTTTCTAATCATTTATTCTATTTGTGTCTATACAGACACAAATGTACAGACATGTTATCCAGTAATCATATGATGCTACTTCTCAATTACATGTATCCATTCAGATTTTAATACATCTCCAAACCTTCAATTTCTTCAGAAGACTGGAATAATATAACACCAATAATAGCATGAGTTATTGAGTATTAGAATTTGGTTCTTATTTTCATTTTTAAGTCATCACTAGCCCCTTCCTTGAAACTGAGACAAAGTACTTAATTCTTGAGTACTATCTTGACTACCTCTTATCTGCATTAGATATTCTTTGAATGCAGCACAACATTTTTCCTTACTCTTTTTAAAACTGTGTGGTTAAAAAAGTCTTTACTATTTGCCTTAATTTTCACTGCACTACATTTGGCAATTATTATTTTATGCCAACATTGAATTCTTTCATTGGTGATTGGCCTCTTCCTTCCTTCTTTTCTAATACAATTTTGTAAATCAGTATCCTTACAGTCAGATGCAATCTTTCAGCTAACCTTTCTGGGAACAAAAACAAATTTCCATGTGGAAATTTAAGTCTTATCTTTACTTGAGTATTTGGGCTCTTTGGGCTCTACATTGTCACTGTAATTCTGAATCTTTCATTTTTCTGTGTTTGCCCTTTTGAAATTAAGAGAATTAATTCCTGCATCTATTCCTGCTTATCCATTTAAGTTAAAACAAATCAATGCTGAACTATAGGATCTAAATTTATTTTCCTTTTTGTAATATCTCTCTTTATCCTGCAAATCGAGTTACTCAAAGAAAAGAAATCAATTAATGAAGCGTTGTTCAAATGTCAATATCTATGCTAGCATTTTTTCCTATAATCCCTATGTAGGAAGTTGAAATGTTGCATATTTCTAGAGTGAATACTGATTATTCTTTTTTTTTTTTTTTTTTTTTTTCCTTTAGTGCTGCTATATTCACAGTTTCCAAAAACTGCCTTAACAGAACTTGTTATCTCTTTCAGACTTGACTGAACCCAGGACACAGTATTATGACCACACCCCTTAGCTTTATTTGGGTTTTTGTTTGTTGGTTCGCTTGTTTGTTTGTTGTTGGTTTTTTGTTTGTTTGTTTGTTTGTTTGTTTGTTTTTCTGTGAATATCATCTTAATTCCTGAAATTATTTATGTTAGTTAACCCATGGAGCTAGAGTTCCAGCAGTTCAATTTCCTCCATCTTGTTATCAGATTTCCCTCATTACCACACAAACACCTCAGTAGTGGTGATTTCGGACCACAACTAATTAATAATCAAATCCATTCTTCAATGCAATTACTTATACTAACTAATATATATATATATATATATATATAGCTTATATATATAGCAAATGCTTATCTCTATTATCACTATTTCTAACTTCCTTTTCTATTGCTCTTTCTCCTATTATTCTTCTGTTACTTTATTATTTGCCATTTTCTCTTTTATTTTTCTCTTCTTAAGCTCTCAGTTAAAAGAAGTGATGACTTCTTGAAAACTCCCTTTTTTTTTTTTTTTACTTTTTCGTTTACTGTCTTCAACACTAAGATTGCAATATTTCCAGAGAAATCTACTTATCAAGAACTTCTTTTTTCTCGAATACTTAGTAATCCCAAATGCATCTTGAAATGTTTCTATGTCAAAACAATTCCCCCTTCTTACTACATTACTACAGTTCTTACTAAATTAAGCATCTTTCCTTTCCTAATCCTGGGAAATCCTAATCTCATTAGTGCAGGTAATTGTCATTTGTTCTAAGCACCAGTCTGAGTGAAAAAGAGGTGCATGAGTACTACCATAGTTAACACCTTACCATTATCCTTCACACACCTCAGTACAAGATGTTCTTTTTAAATAAAAGGATAACTTCCTTCTAGCGAAGAAAACTTTTTACTTTGAAGAAATCTTCAAGATACTAATGATTCATTTCTGTCTTATACAATTACTATTTACATCCTGTCATCTTTCCTAGGGAAGTGGTTGTGTTTCGTGTTTGCTTTTTTAAATGTATCTTGCAAACTGCTTTCAGCAAAGCATTAAGAATAACAGAG